TTATCTGTCTTAGGCTGCGTTTATACTTTGCGGCAGCGTAGCGTAGCGCTTCCAGCGTACGCCAGCGGCAGTGCCGAAGAGAGGATGCATATCGATCTAGCTTCACCAGCGTCACCAGCGGCACGCTGGCGTACGCTAGCGCACGCTGGCGTAGCGAGGGCACGGGAAGCATAGCTATCGATCTAGCTTCACCAGCGTTTCTCGAGCGTTTCTCCAGCGGCACCAGCGTTTTGCTAGCGCTTGCAGCGGCAGGGAGTAGAGACTATGTGGCCGTGAGAGACGCGGAATCGACGTGTATTGTAGAGACTATGTGGCCGTCGGAGACGCAGAAGCGATGTGCATTGTAGAGACTATGCGGCCGTCGGAGACGCAGAAGCGATGTGCATTGTAGAGACTAAGGAGCGAGTGAGAGACGCGCAATCGATGTGTTTTGTACCCTCCAGCTCTCCCATAGTCTCTACTCCCCTGCCGCTGCAAACGCTAGCAAAACGCTGGTGAAACGCTGGAGAAACGCTGGCGTACGCTAGCGTGCGCTAGCGTGCCGCTGGTGAAGCTAGATCGATATGCATCCTCTCTTCGGCACTGCCGCTGGCGTACGCTGGAAGCGCTACGCTACGCTGCCGCAAAGTATAAACGCAGCCTTAACTATATCCTTGCGGAGATTCTCGCCTGTCCCCTGCTAATGAGGTGGACCTTGGTGGGGTTGACGAGCCTACTTAAGCTGGTATACGCGTTTGCCGTTCCAAACGTCTCGCGGACTTGCAGGTGGTTGGCGGGCCATTGCTCTCACCGCAAGGCTTCCATCTACTCCCCCCCGCCCCCCTCCGCCCATATTTTAGCGGCTCTGTCACTTTTTGTTGTGTATTTTCCATGATCTATCCGTCACCAAGCTATATAATAAGTGTTGTTCTGTTTGCGTTACTAAGCGATAATAAATCATAATCTAATCACAATTAGAAAAAGCCCATGTTCTCCGCAGTTAAGGATGCAATCATCTGGGATTCTCTTTAGGGCTGCAAGGAGTACTCTTGAATAATGAACATCACTGCTGGGTTAATAATGAGGGGGCTATTTGGCCGCAAGGAGAGCAGTGGGTTGGGGGATTGCGCACATGAAACGGGAAAAGAACTACAGCAAATAAAAATTTCATCGCATTTGGGAATATTGTTATCAAAGCGGGACCCCCTTTCCCTCCAGAGACTATCATAGTGGCCCCCACCACTTTCCCTCTCCCCCTCCCCCTGCCCGCCCCCCCCCGCCCCGATAGGAGGTTTCCGAACAGGCGCTATATTCGACCCTGCCTCTAATGTTCTTTACCTTATTATCTGATGGCTACTTTTGTGCTTGCCACTGGACACACACACAAGTGGATGCTCAACCGGCGGTGAAAAGTTTGTTATTCACTTCAGGAGTATTTCGGATGAAGGGAAGCGTAAACACGTAAATAGGCCTCAATGTAAGTGTCTACAATTTAGAAACTCAACTGTGAAGGTACATGAATTACTATGAAAGGCACGACAACTCAGAAGGACTTGGGTTGGACTTAAAGGTACGGTTCGCGATAAACTGAGGCTACAATATCTTATATGCACATATGCTGACGCTCCTATATGCTGACGCGGTCCGCGACCGCTGAGGCTGTACTGCAGTCAGAACTTGAACGTTGACCGACAACCTGCAGGAAGATTTAGTGTTAGGCACGAGGGCACCAAATAGACCTATGCCAGCCTACGTTGCCCGCGTCATCGTGGTAGTGTCATCGGGCTCCCTGCCCGTCATTTTCTTCTCCCGCGCTTTTCAGCCTATCATGGTCTTACGCATCTGGCAATTGATCTTTCACATCTCAGTCCAGTGACCATGCTCAACCGCAAGAACGAGGACCTTATCGAGAGCAGTTTTCATGCTACATTCTTTACTAGTGAGTCAGCTAGTACATTGAACCTATTCGCGGAAAGTGCCCTCAACTTCCTGTTCATGGCCTTGCCCATTTTCAATTTTAACTGGTGTATTTAACCTTAAGTTTTTCTTGGAGATTCCCATTTCCTTTGAACTGCAACTGCGTTAATCGAATAAGTCCCTTGAAGCGTTTCAGTATTGTACGAAAACTTAAACTCTAGAGAATTCAATGAAACTTATTTATCATCTTCACTGGACAGATGCACTTCAATCGAGGTCTATGTGGGTTCATTTATCTAGACGTTTGCCTTAGAAACCCTTGGGACTGAAGCCCTTCAGCTCAACAAAAACATGAAAGACTTCTTCGATCTCATGAGTTTGCCTTATTTCAGTGACTTGTCCCCTTACTTCTGTAACTAGGCCTTCCTAAAGTTGATTTGAAAGCATGTTTCAAAAAACAAACAATCAAGACAGCAGCACCGCTTGAAATAAGCGCCACCAGCTTGAAAATTTTAGATTGAGTGAAAAGTCCAAAAAGTTTCGCCTAGCGAATGAACTAGTTGGAAACCTGGTGCTTAGCACCGCGCGCCAAATAAAGACACTAGGGAAACCAACTTCTACAGGCAATCAGCAGGGAACCATTGGCGTCGGAAGGAGTAACTCCCCAGATCACCTAGGCCAGCCATGTGGGCTGGTCTCCGGTTGTCTCAACGATAGAGCGTGGAATATTTTGACATGGCCTATTAGACGTCAGAACACGGCACTCTTCTACTGCACCTGAACTCTGAGCAGCACAAGAGCTAGTTCGCGCCAACATCACGACCCAGTCTAAGGTCGGTGAGTAGTGGTCGGCTCCCGGGAGGCAGATGAGCGTATTACTCGAGAAATACCCCTGAGATCGGGCTGGGGAGCACTCGAACACTGTAAGAACTGGTTTACTAGTGTAAATATTAAAGTCTGGACAATCTGTCATCTTGTTCTAATGTGCGCATAGAGACCGACAAGATGTGTGAGTGAAAATATCGGCATCAGAAGCTAAACGCCTTTAAGATAATTGAAACGATGCAGGCCACGCCTACCGAATCTCAGGGAGTGTCTCCGGCGTATATTGTTGCTTCCGATTAGCGGAACCGCACCCGCTCCCAAAGCATTTCCTAGCTAGTTGACGTAAGAGACACAGGCACAGAGATAGTCTGAAGCGGCACCAGCATGTTGTGTGGACTGGGTCCTGGTCTTCTTCAGCCAGGGCACGCCATAGTTGCGATGATCACAACGGGGGTCGTATTTGACCGCGAGGGAGGGGGGGGTCGTATTTGGTCGTTGTTGGGAGAGGGACTGTCAAAGATCTATACAACTACTATTTCCGATAGTTGAAAATGATAGTTAAACAGTTAAATCCTGACGACCCCCATACCCCCTCCCCCCTCCCGCTCGACGGAAAATTCTTGGCTGAAAAACTGGAAATTTTCGGGAAAAAATGGAAAAAGTGGTAGGAAGTTGGGAAAATCTAGGAAAGTGGTAGGTAGCATGGGAGGGGGGTCGTATTTGAGGATTGAATTAAGGGGTGGTATTATTCAGGAAATGATCACAAAACGATGGCGTGCCCTGCTGTGCACCGCGCGGGGTTTCGAAAGAAACGATGCACAAAACTTCAACTCCTTTTATTGTTCGAGCTCGTCAAGCTTTAGCTTTAGAGTTGGTCAGGTTCCAAATATAAACAGTGGGGTTTCCTGTCCAGGGAAACTACCAGAGTTATCGACGAAGCCGCCAGCAGAAAGTCCGCAATTACGACACACTGTCACCTAGATAGAGTGCACACACGAGGCGCATAGCGCCCAGGCGGTCATTGCTACGTGCTTAAAGTCAGTTGGCACGATAAATCCCCCAAGACGAGTAGGATTAATACGCCTGGCAGGACAGAATTCCGCGACCCTGAGCAGGCGCTGGATAATACCTTTTCCAAGAAAGGTGCCCTCATAAGGGCCCTATCAAGACACAGTCACCCAAACACACATCTAACCCAAACGCCCGCCGCCCACAGACGGACGACCATTCCTGACGCTCTATTCGATTCATTTGCTAAGCAAATCACAAGCGAAGGGATTGGTGTGAAGCGGCCATGATGCTGCATGCATATGAAGCACACATATGCAGCCGCGTACCTTCGGCGAGCGGTTATGGGTAAGATGCCTACGGAACTCGTCCCAATTGAATGTTGAACACATTTAGAGAAACAGAGGCTTTTTCTTCGCCGAGAAATTTTGGACGGCTGTCACTCCGCTCTCTTCGCCATTTCCTCCACTATATAACGCCCCATTAGCATTTTAGGCCGAGCACCAAATCGTCGTGCCAACTGTCTTTAAGGAAATACAGAAAGTGCTCTTTAAGGAAATACAGAAAATGTGCTCTAGGGCTAAAGAAACAGTCACTTGAACAGAAAGGCATTCTTTCCAACGAGAGCA